TCCACAGAACACAACAAAAGATGAAAAGAAATAACCCAAGAAGAAAATTAATCTTGCTAATTTCTAGCATTTCCAAGAAATCAACTCTTGCACAACTTTCGTGCCCTAAAATATGAGAATTTGACATATGCTTGAGAGAAAGACACATAACCAAATTGATAGACATGTAAATAATAATCAGACCGATAAGAAATCAAAGTCAACACACCAATCTCTATCAACCCTAAATTTGTACCAGGAAGGCCTAATTCACCAAAAACAAATTCAAATTAATCTCTTCTCCTTTCTCACATCCCATTTGAATTAAAATACACTTAAAAATTAAAATTCTTCTCTAGTTTGAAGAAAATATTCCCATTGCCTCTAAAGAACATAGCAAAAGTGCTAAACAGAAAACAAATTGCATCAAAATATAGTTTTGGGTTATTGGATTTGGTGTATTGGGTTTGGTATGATAAACAGAACCAGTGATTGATAGCTTAGACCCCAAAAGAAGAAAACAATCATTACCTTTCAACTTTAACCCAAAGGCAATAAGGATCATGAAAACTTGAAAACCCAATCCATTTCCCCGAATTCTGGTTCTCCCTCATTTCCTCATTCCCCAAACACCTTCTCAACCCAGACCCACTCACTCATTGATTTCCAACATGGCGCGAAAATCTTCTCTCTTCAAACAAACCCTAATTGCAACTTTCTTCTTCATCCTCGTCATCTGGCCTTATTCACTACCTTCTTCCACACCTCATTCACCGCTTCCGACCCATATTCTTCTGATGAGGAGCTCGAGTTTTCTTGCGGGAAAATCTCAACTTTCCCGAGAAACGAATTGACCCATCTGGGTTTAGGGGAAAAGTTAAGGTCTTTATGTATGATCTTCCCCATAAGTTCACTTACGGTATCATTCAGCAGCACAGGCTGGCGCGAGGAGGGTCGGCCGTCGCCGATGTGACCACGCTAAACTACCCCGGCCACCAGCACATGCACGAGTGGTTCCTTTTCTCTGACCTGGCTCGGTCCGAATCGGAACGCGTTGGATCCCCAATCACCAAGGTGAACGACCCGGAGGAGGCGGACCTTTTCTACGTACCAGTATTCTCCTCCTTGAGCTTGATTGTGAATGCGGGCCGACCTCCTGGGAGCGGATTGGGGTACAACGATGAGGAGATGCAAGAGGCGCTGGTGGAATGGTTGGAGGGGCAGGAGTATTGCCGGAGGAACAATGGATGGGATCACGTAATCATCGCCGGCGACCCTAACGCACTGTATCGGGTCGTGAACCGGGTAAAGAATGCGGTTTTGCTGGTCTCAGATTTTGGGCGGCTGTGGCCGGTCCAGGGGTCACTGGTGAAGGACGTGATAATACTATATTCACACAGGATCAGTGCGTATACTGGGGGTTTTGGTGTGCAGGAGAGGAAAACGCTACTCTTCTTCATGGGGAACCGGTACCGGAAGGAGGTAATCCATAAATCAAATATGTGATTCTATGCTTCTTTTCTACACTTGTGCCTTTTGTATAATTTGGAGAAATTTCAAAGCTTGAGTTGGTGTTGGAGATAGATGGATGTCTTCTAGTTGGTTTAGTAGTATTGATGGTAGAGAGAATACAAGAGAAAATTTGGTATGGTGCCCTTTGTATTACTAGGAGAAATTTCAAAGTTTGTGTTAGTTTTAG